AGTGTAAGTGTTTACATCTGGTAGTCTGTAGAGTTTCATGGTTCTTTGCAGGGTCATGTTTCTGCTCAGATGGGAAAATTTAACTTCCACAAGCTTTCTAGGGTTCAAAGAGCGGTGCCAGTACCTGGGGATAAAAAAATACCCAAAAAAACAAAACAGGAGACCAAGATTAAAAAGAAAAAAGGAGTGCTTCCTGAATTCAAAACACTTCCACTAGATGTGCTCTTTAGAAGAGATACGTATAAGCTAACATATCAAAAAACAAACAAACACCAGGGCACTCTGTTTCATTAAAAAATTAAAATGCTTATATTCTCATGGCACTGAATGGCTGAATCTTTCTAGTGTTGTTCCACCAATAGCAAACCTATGGTTAAGAGTGGAAAACTTGACCAGTAAAGTACTGGTGGAGTTTTACTGGTGGAAAAGATTCAGAGTAGACTCAATTTTCCCCCATCAGAGCTTTAAGTTAAATATGACCATGCCATGAGTATAAAGGTATTTTAATTTTATATGAAAAGAGAGTGCCTTGTTTTATATATTTTAACATGCTGCCCATGTGCAGCATGTGTGACTAGTGAATAACATACCTGCATGTAGACACGGGTTTAGGCAGCACAACTCCGGCAGTGTATACGGCCTGAAATATTCCTTCTAAGTTCACTCTCCTTGTTATCTCTCTGATGAGCACAGGAGCAACGCGCTTTGAACGCAGCTTCTTATGAACACACAGGAAGTTGATTTCTACCATCCTCTTCAGCCTGGAGCCACAAGCGAGAAAAGAAAAGAAACAAAAGGATGGATTGAATGAGTAAAACACTTTCCCCATCACTGCTGTTCTCAAATGCATACAATAAGTAATGAACACTCACGTATCATAGACTCGTATATCTGCAGGGATGGCACTGATGAAGCCAACGAGCTTCTTATTTGAAGACACTCTCACTCCGCAATGCCACTGTGGTAACCAGCCAGGTGGACGTAAAGCCCTGAGAGGGGAAAAAAATATTTTTATTATAACCGCATACATTTAAAGCTACTGTACTGCATCATGTGATAAACATGAAGAAGCTTACCATTTAAGAAAGTTTGGAGAATAATCAAATCTGAACATGTTATCATCATCCTCCACATAATTTTCATTTAACAACGTGTACAATTCCTTCAGCTGCAAAAGAGCGTGACAATAAATCATTCTGTTTTGATTAATCTGATTAATCTCATTGGTGTATTTTGAACAAAGACTGCACTTACAACATCTGCATTACTGAGATCCAAAGTGTCCCACATAAAGCCTTGAGGTAAAGAATATGGCTCCTGTCTGATGTTCTCTTTGTCAGCCTCAATTGGCCCGTGACTCGTCACAACTTCATCTACAAAAATAACACAGCCTTTTGTCAAAGGTTTGCAACTGTTTTCCAATCACCACACTTCCACGGGACCTCATAAAACTCCATGTCCTTAAACTGTGAGCAATGCACAAAACCGCTGATGGCATCAGACTTTATATAAATCTGCTGCTGTTTGTCCTGCGTCGACCCCCACAGCCTGTGGCTGCACAAAGGCCTGACTCGTTGGGTCATGGCTGTTATGGAAACAGCTTGATCTAATGCTGCTGAGCATGCCCAGTGGGAATGCATGGACCCCTACTGTACATTGCAGCTGACATGTTTCTAAGATACTGGCCTAAATCAGCAGACTGAGGAGATAAAACCAGCAGATGGCGCTGGTGCAGAAAGAAAAATAATTTCTGTTGACAGAGGAAATAATACCAATTTAAACAGGAGTGCAGTTCATTTAAATGAATTTAACTAAGTACTTACTTAATTTTGGGACAGGCTGAGTATCCCAGAACTGGTACTTGTGCTTGGCTGCCTCATCTATACTCTTTGCTGGACCCTGGCAGGAAAGCAGCTCCATAGCTCTTTGGATGTCCTGCAGCTTCTGGATGGGCAGCCCAGGGTTCTGATTTAAAGCGGGCACACATACACAGATTACTTAATGTCTGTATCACTCAACCAAACACTGGATGCTTTAAATAATCTAAATGTAGACGAGAGGCAACATCAGAGTGCATGCAAATAAACAGTCTTATAGTCATGTTTACACAGGTCTTTTCCTACACACTATACTCCCACTGAGCAAGAGAAACCGGATTAATCATGTCACTGTATAAATGATTGATGAAGTCAATGATCTTTAAATTATAAATGCAAAAACCCAAATATGACAGTCCCTGTCATTAAATCATTTGGTTAAGCTTGATTTGCTTTCTTCATCCGATCAGAACATCAGAGTCTGGATGTAGTTATTGTTTATTTTTCTAAAGCAGCATGCAGTATGTAGAAATCTCACAGCAGGCTAAAAGTTTGTGATATATCCTTTTAGCAAAATAAACTACCTCATTCTAGAACCTCATTACAGAATACAAACAGGGAGCATGCCAAGGCTGGAAAACCCTTACCGACCATGACACATTGACGGCAAACAAGCTGAATTCTGGGTTGTTGCTTTCCCTTTTCTTACCCCTCCTCTTTTATTTTCAGGATATTAAAAGAACCTTGTTTTGTATTGTATCCCCTGCCCTAAAAAAAGGGTGTGTGCACTCTTTTCACTGGGTCATCATCACCATCACACCTTGATCTCCTGAGAGTCCGAGGCAGAGTCAGACTTGGCTCCCCCCGAGCTTGGCTTCTCTTTCTTCCTCTTCTGCTTCTTCTTCTTCCTCTTGGCCCCCAGCTCTCCCCCTGGACTGCTACAGACATGAAAACAAACGATGAGGATGGATGCTGGCTAGACCCGCACACAGAGCTAACGTTAGCTACCATAGCAACGAATGACAGCTCAGCTACTTAACGTTAGCTAGCTAGCGGTTTGTCATAATGGTTGCCCGCCATGTCATTCAGTCGGAGAGCTTTAAAGAGGTCACAACGTTATAAACAGTTCAAGACGGCCTGTGTTTGCTGTCTGCTAATACTAGCAGGCTCACTGCCTTAGCCGCTCACAAGCAGGCTGCCTGGAATAACGTTACTGCGTTTCCCCGAGCCGACCGGACAGGCCACCCCTCACCCTTGCATATGCTCATTCTCCTCCTCGTTGTCTCCGTCTATCCCGCAGGTGTCCTGGTCGTCCAGCTCCAGGCTCTGCTGACTGGCTGCGGATTCACTGTCCTCCGCCATCATAAAAATGTTTTAAAAATATAGTCAGCCACCGTTTAACAGAGCTAACGGGGAGCGGGCGAGAGATGGAAAAAACAAAGAAAATGTCGAAGGAAATCGCGCCGCCTAGAGGCCAAAGGCGGGAACTCAGACCTGAGCTGCTGCCTTTAACATGAAGCCAAGTGGTACCCAAACTAGACTTTTACCTTATTTCAAACATATAGCCATTTAAATGTTATAGACACTTTAGACACTTGTTTCTGATACTGAGAGGGAAAATAAATACATATTACAAATTACAGGTAATAAAAAAAAAAGACAAAAATCTAAAATTATTTTTTTAAATAAGAAAATACAAAGTAAAAATAAATTGTCAGTTTTTTAAAACTAAATACTGGGATATCTGCTGGACTATCAGCAAGTGTGTTCTAAATTCATACTATCAATGAGAAAAACACGTGCAAAGTAGCACTTTTTGCTATTTCAACATTTTTAAACACATTTAAATTAGGTAAACAAAACCATCCTGGAAAAGAATTGATGATGTAGCAGAAGAAACAAAAAGCCTAAAGGTTACAATTAAATAAAAATACCTGTTTAAATGTACAAAAAATATAACAACTCTGCGCTGCATAAGGCATGTTTTAGACAGCAACTTCAGGGATTTGATATCATTTAGGATTATTCAGTTTTCTTATATCAAATACATATAAAAACACACAGATCCCGATCAGTTACTTAAGTTAATCTAATTAATCCGTTAATAAAAACCATCCTCAGTGAGTCTGGGAGTGTTGGTGTCCTTATGGAAGGCTGTAGTCAGGACCATGGAGGTATAACTGATATGTTTTTGTAGATATCTGACCTATCTGAAAATAAAGATGAGAAATGTTTTTACCATTGTATGTTCTCAAGCTTTATAATGATAAGTACTACAAATAAATTTGTTTAAAAAAAAATGGTGAAAATTACCCTCAGAAAGGACATTAATTTACGCTCAATGGCGATTTTGTTAGGTACACCTACTCTGTAATGCAAATATCTAATGGCAGCGGTTTGGTGCAATTAGGAATGCAAGCATGATCAAGATGACCTGCTGAAGTTCAAGCCGAACATCAGAATAGAGAAGAAAAGTGATTTAAGTGAATCTGACACAGAGAACCACCCTGTGTGTAACCAGGCTGGTCTAGACAGGTCAATTTAACAGTTTCTTTAAAAAAAAAAAACTGGCAATTTACTGGGATTTTTCTCCACACAACCATCTCTATAGAGTTTACAGAGAATGGTCGAGTGAGTGGCAGCTTTCTGGATGAAGAGGCCAGAGGTCATAGCCAGATTGCTTTGAGTTGATAGCAACTCAAATAACCACTCGTTATGACCAAGATATGCAGAAGCACAGAAGCAGAAGACCACACAGTCAGCTAAAAACAAAAAAGTGAGTATACAGTCCAACACTGGACAACAGAAGATTGGGAGACGTTGCCTAGTGAGTCTTGATTTCTGCTGCAACATAGATGGTAATGACATAATTTGGAGTAAACACCACAAAAGCATCGAGCCATCCTGATTCTACGGTTCAGGCTGGTAGTGTAAAGGTGTGCGGGACATCTTCTTGGAAGCCGTTGTGCACCTTAATACAAAGATCATATCGTCAAACAATGGTGTAACCGGAGATTCCCATCATGGATATGCAGCCACCTGAAAGCAAAAAGGGCTCCCAGCTGATTCTAGCAAGGTGTACCCAATAAAGTGGCCCATATGAATACATTTTAACTACTATCTGGATTAGCGTATAAAGAGATATAGAGGTTTAATTTTGCAAACAGATGCACACTCAGTTAATTCCAGTTTGGCTGTTTATTCAGAATAACAGGCTTCAAATATAATGCAAGCATCTGATTTACACACTCAAAGATACTGTATTGCTCATCCACCCTAAAAGGGGAGATTGCTGTGTGGGAAACTAAAAGAGAAAAGGCCATTCATAACACAAAGACACACATTATTTTGATAAGGCAGAGGTAAGGAAAGACTATACACACTCTGTAATATGGCTGCTTTGTCTATGTGAACCTTGACTGGATGCATGTTGATCAGTCAGCATCACCTCAGCCGCCACTGCAAAACACATTTCAGACAAACGTTCACCCACAAAACACAAAAATAAGAAAATGCACTGAAACGACCTGCAGTGTAGTTTCACATATCCAGTGCCACACACACGCACGCACGCACACACATAAAAACAAAACATCTTTAACTGCTTACTCTGAGGGAGACTGAACTCTTGCTGATTACTGTAGAGGATTTTACGATTGCAGCAGCTGGTAGACATTTTCTGAGATGTCTGCAGTGTAGCTTGTTATACGCTAGTGCTGAGGAAAGTTTACTGCATGCTTTCTTTCACAAGCAGGAGAGAAAGTAAGGGCTGAGGTAGGAAGGAGGGGGAGGGCGGACGAAGGCAAAAGGAGGTGAGAAATAAATAAGGTAATCAGTTGCTGTAGAGTCAGGCTATTCAAAGGCACTTGGATCGTGGGTGAGTGGTTCAAATGGAGGTGAAACACAGCAAGCAAATACAGTTTGCATTTCAGGTAAAAGGTTATCGAGCGTTTGCTTTTATAGCTTAAACGTTAAGGTGGGTACGGAGGAAAAGCCCTTAACATATTTAAAAGAAAAAAAAAAAGCCTATTCTCAGATAAAATACTTCATGTTTGGCAATTAAAATTATAATGATTAAAATTACAAAAAAAAGGCATCAAGCAGCCATATAAAAGTTATGCATAGCCTTCAAAGCAAAACATAAAAAATACACCAGTCAGTGGTTCAACAGTTACAAAACCCTTCATACCAATATCCCTCACAACTAATTTGGGTGGCTTTGAAGTGGTATTACATCCTTACCCACCAGCATAGCGGTGTGTCACATTATCTGATTATGCTACAGAGCAGATAGTGGTTAAACCTCCTCAGTCCAGAAACCTTATCTCCCACAAAGCCTTCTGATGGGCTAGATTAAACTCTAGCAACATACCACCAACCGTTCAAAGTAAATCCCTCAAACACGGCTGCCCCGTTTTGCACAGATGTTTCATAATCTCAGACATCAGTCAGTGTGAACAAACCGGGGTTATGACCTTCAAACGAGTGTTGCTGCATGTTACTAGATTAAGCTAATGGACTGAGGACAATATGGCTCAAGAAAGAAAGTTTTTTGTAGTCTCGGATTTTCCATGAACCACCCATCGACTGCTTCTACTACAGTTCATTTATGCTTGCAAGGCTATTTATTAAAAAGGCATATATTTGTTGTGCATAAAATATCCTAATTTCGTGCCTCCAGCGTCTTTATGTCTCCCCTCAGGCAATGTGTTCGCCACGCCTGACGAGTGGTCTGTTTATGTAGTGTTTCATGAAAAGTGAAGTACAACAGTGGTCATTAAGAGTCTAGCAGAAGTGTTCATTTCTCAACCAGATGGGCTCCCAGTGCTAAAGTATTGATTCAGTGCTATATTAAGAACAAACGGCTTCAATTTAAACACATATATCCTTCATGTTGTGGTCTGAGCAGAGGAGGAGTTGTGGTTAACGGGCAGATTTACACTCTTCCAAGTCTGTTTCAAAGCAGAACCGACATGCACTTGTGTTTCCTGATCATTTTTCCTCCTCCTAGTACCTTTCCTTCTCCACATAGTGCCTGAAAAGATGCTGCCTCTGAAAGTGAAGTGTATTGAAAAGTGGAGGAAATAAATCACAGTTGCACTCCCCAGAATGGATGCATTCAGCCACATTAGTGGACAGGATTACCACTGAGCATGCCTCTAATGTGACTTTATGAGTTGCCTAGCTCACTAGAAAATGCTCAAAACAGCAATAATAAGAACACGATGACACTTTAACCTCAACAACACCACTTCTGCTTGGATCAGGACACCTCATTCTTTGAGCATGAGTTGGAGGGGTGGGGTACAGCTTTTTATCGTTGCTTTATGGCACGCATACTGAGACTCTCTCCCATGTCTGAAATGTTAAATATTTAGCGTGCTTCTCATTTCAACTTGAAGATCAGTTTTCACTGAGATTTTATGATTAAACCTTACTTAACTTTGCTCAACATCTTGTTAACTTTGATTAATTTTTCCCAGAAGGGGAAAGAGATTGTTTAATTAACGCTGATTTTTTTTTTTTTTTTAAAAACAGCATGGCAACTAAAAAAAGCCTTAAACTGGCATTCTACTTCAAACAGACTTGAAAAATGTGAATCTTTCCTTTGTCATCTGTGAATCATTTGAGGTTGAAGGCCAGCAGGGGTCGCTCCTCCCTCCTTTGCCAGGGGCTTTTCTTCTCCTCTTCTGCATCATCGTGTGCTGCGTCCTCATCCGGAGACACTGACAGCAGCGCGTGATCAGTCCTGAAAGTCACTCCCTCTGGAGTTGGCAGGGGCGGAGGAGAAGTAGGGGATGCAGAGGAAAGTGAGGGTGGCTCCTCCTGTATTTGTACTCCCTCAGCTGTTTTACCCATTGCATCCCCCTGCCCCTGATCCACTCTGTTACTCTCTCCTTTGTCTGACAAGACAGGTCCAGATTTGCTGCCCTTGTGGGTGCACTTCTCCTCCTCACAGCCTCCCACGTTCAGATCATCCACAAACACCAGCTGAGTGTAGGCCGAGGCTGGCGTCGCCCCCTTTGATCTGTCTTTCTCAATCCCCCTTTCCTCCTGCTCAGCATCTCTCCCCCTGCGCCCCACTCTTGGCTCGTTCAGGTCCACACCCGAGTCCAGACTGGCATCGTTACAACTGCCATGCCTCCCTTGACGGCTGCTACCTTGCTGACCTCCTGCACTTGGTGTGCTGTTGTTGTTGTTGTGGCACCCTGCCCGCTGGAGATCGATGTAGGAGTGGCGAATGTGAGCATTGGAGCGTCCATCCAGGGAGACAAACCAGGCTCGTGGGTGAGGCAGAGGCTTCCCTCCTCTCAGCTCCATTAAAGTCTTTTCAGCCAGCAAGGTGTCCTCGCTGTTTATTTCCACAAGACCCGACTCCCCGAGAGCTCCTGGAATAGACAGAGACTCTGACAGGCCTGAGATACCCTCGCCTTTACTCTGCTTTTTTGGACCTGGGTCGCAGTCAGTGGGGGTTTGCCCCAGGGGCTGCTGGGAATGTGAGGCATTGAGCTCAGCCTGGATGGTCTCTAAGTCACTCTGCTGGTCAGTCTGCAGCAGGAGCGCTTGACCAGACAGAGGGTGCTCCCCAGGCAGCCGCATGTAGTGTGCTGGGATTACAAGTGTGGGTCGCACTCTTGAGTAGCCTTCCCCTCCACTCAGCAGATCTACAGAGCCGCAGCAGAGCAGCTGGCCTGGCCGGGAGAGCAACTGGGGACTGGGCCGCTCCAGGTGGTCCACAGACCGGGACAGCAGGTGGTCAGCAGCCCTGCACTCACCTCCCTCCCCTCTGCTGGGGGAGTGCGGAGGAGATAAAGGGGAGATGCAATCAATAATCCCAACACTGCTAAGCTGTGTAGCTGACACTTGACCATGATTAGTGGATGACAACGCATCTGAAATCTGGTTGCTAGATGAACAGAAGGAGGTGTATGATTGACGGTAGCCCCTCTCTGTCCCCGATGATAGAGCAGCCCTCAGTTGAAACGTCTCTACAGACTGTCGGTAGTCTCGGCTGCGAGGCGTCAGATTGCCCAGAGATGATCCGTGGTGGCTGTTGTTGCCGAGAGAGGAGCGGCTGTGTTTGTTTTGATGGATAAGGCTGTGTTGACGTTGATTGTCTCGGTGCTCATATGAGGAAGGCTTGAGCATCGGAGTGGTCATGTCAGGCTCAGTCCCCGTGGAAACAAGCTCCAGCTGCACCTGAAGGCAACAACAAAATTCAGGTGTGAGAATGTTTTTAAATACCATCACATGAAGCAAACCATAACAAACACTGTAGTTTAATTTCAAACACGTAGAGTGCTATAGTGTGAGTAATTCATGTGTTTGGTCCCATCTTGGTGTTCTTTTGTGTTAAGAAGGGTGAAGGAGGTGTGTTGTTATCCATAAAAACAGCCTTTTCATTGGTTGAAAAATCAAAATGAGGGGAAAAGCATAAACATGGCTGCAGCTGACAATTTTTAACATTTTGAAACACTCAGGTTCACTTTATTACAAAGAAGTTCTTTGTTATTATGACTCCTGTCTTCTCTGCTCCAGGGGCCAAGTTAAAGGACCAACCACACAAACGCAGCTACAGCACAATGATCTCCACAGCAAAGCTCTGCACAGGACCAACCAACAACCATACAGTGCACTTAAGGAGCACAGGTTAGCATCGATACACGTTTTCCTTCCTAGGGGCAAGCTATGAGCAAGTCAGGTATGTTGAGCCTAAAGCCAGAGCTTTCAGTTTTTACCCATCTAAATCCCCATAGCAACATGTGCTGAACCAGGTACCAAGGTCTTTTTTCCCCTCTTTTTCATGGGCCACATATTACTGCCTTTCCCTTCATCGACAAGCTGTAAAAATGATAAACTGATGTAGATTCTATGTTCTATAGAGGTTTGAAAAAGTGTTTACCCCCTCCCTGATTTCCCTTTTTTGTGTTTGGCACACTTAAATGTTTCAGATCATCAAACAAATTTAAATATTAGACAAAGATGACACAAGTAAACACAAAATGCAGTTTCTAAGTGAAGGAGTTGATTATGAAGTGGGAAAAAAGTCCAAGAAGTGATTGCCCCCAAAACCTAATAACTAGTTGGGCCAGTGTCAGTGTTGTTTCTCATCTGTTTCTTTAAATCGTACCGTAATGTGTTACATTTTGAAATCGTTTAGCCCGCTTCACTTTGTCAGGTTCTATTTGAGCGATTTCTTAATTCAACAGGTCTGACAGTAATCAGGCTTTTTATTGAAACTGAACTCAGCTTTCAAAATCACAGTGGATTTATGATTTAACTACAAGGACAATTACTTTTTCACGCAGGACCAGACAGGTTTGGATAAATTTTCTGCCTTAATCAATGAAATCATCATTTAAAAACTGCATTTTACTCGGGTTCTCTTTGTCTAATTCTAAAAAAATTGTGTGATGATCTGAAACACTGGCAAATATGCAGGAGGCAAACACTTTATACACCACTGTATATATGAAAACTGTTCAGTCACGCATTCCCACAGTAATTAATGAAGGTATAATAGTTAGTTTAACACTGCTGAACTACAGGTAACAGAATACAAGTTATTTGTAGGTTGTCTGTGAAGGTTCTCAGTCATCCAGGTCATGACTGAGAAGTCCAGACGCTTATTTGTAGGTTATTTATCCCGAGGAAACAGCGCATGTTAACCTAATATGATGTAATGTCATGATTAATGTAATGCAATTTCCTCATTTTATAAGGCTATTAGACAGAATCAGTTTAAGGTTTGGCGCTCTAACCTGCAGCTATTTCACATTAGAAATAACCAGAGTTAACAGAGTGGTGAAATAAATATATTTACTAATTAACTAAAGAGTAATTTTAGCAGTTTTTTTCTAATACATTAAATAAATAAATAAATAAATAAATAAATAAATAAATAAATAAATAAATAAATAGGCTGAGGTAGGCTACACACAATCAGTCTTTTTGTGCAGAATAAGAGTGAAATAATGTATCAGACACCCTGTTTTAATGTAGCGCAGCCTGATCCTGAAGTAGAAAGCCTGGGTGTACAAAGAAAGCCTGGCTATGCAATACGTCCTTTAGAGAACATCCAAAATATTGAATATTTAGTAAACGACTTTGGTGTGTTTTCTATTTCCAACACCTTTAAACAGTCATTAATGTGCAAACTCCTTAAACTGTGCCATCTGATCACTGAGCAAACACACCTCATTGCTGATGAGGTTAAGGTGAGACATGGACGTGGCTTGGTCCCTCTTACTGCTGTCCAGTCCAGAGGACAGCGTTAGCTTGCGGTGAGACCCTCGTGGCTTTAAACATCGACGTCTGGGTGAACACAGACAAAGAGCACGTTTAATCTTTAAAATCGGAATAATTACACACAAATGTTTCTAATGGTGAAAAATACATCCCTGACTTTTTGTTGGAACAAGTTGAGACTGGACAAGAGCATTTGTGAGGGTTTTATATTTACTGTGTAGCGCAGCTGCCCAGGTCCAGATTGTTTACATTTGATCAACATAAAAATTATATTACTGCCATGTGACTTACTCTGGAGAACTTTTATTAGTACAGGGCTTTGTTTTCTGGTACTGTTATCACAACTGAAGAAATAATAAACGTGTAAACCTAGGCAGACAGAAGGATGACAGATGGTGCTGGATTCAATAAAAAAGGAATGTATTCAAAAGAAGTATTGTTAATGTTCAGTTAAATGTGGCATACAAACACTCCAGCTCTTGAGATGAGATAAGCCCAAGCTGTCCTGTCGGCCTGCTAAGGTAAATTTTGGAACAATAACGGAGAAATAAATCCCAAGCAGCAGTACACATGTTCTAGCTACAGACTGACATCATTTTCACTAATTTAGATACTAATCTGGAAACTCCTGCTATAGTCTGTGTAAAGGCAAAGTGTTTCACACACCTGCAGTAGTACAGCAGGAGGCAGAGCAGACAGAGCAGGATGAGAGCCATGCCTCCCAGTATGGCCAACAGAAACACAGTGTGGTACGTGCTGATGTCCTTTGCAACCATTGGACCTGTTACAAAGACATGTGTTGAAGCACCAGAGAAAAAGCTTTTTGGTGGAAGTCTGCAGTCAAGTAAACCACATAAATGACAGAACAAAAATATGTGTTTTGTGAAGTAAATTTAATTTGTGTCTATGGATTTTCTTACCGGTGTGTAGAGACGACATGGCGGCCACCCAGTACCCCAGCTGAGGAACAATGTAGGTTAGACTGAGCTGGTTTCCCTCCCTCTGCACCTGAGCCCAGCTGCTCTTTATCCAGATACCTAAAGACACACAAAAGAAATCACAGTATGTGGAAACAAACTTTGTAAAGGTTACTCTGTGAGGACTGGCTGCAGCAACTGCTCACCTGCCTCCCCTAATTATGTAAAGACGGGGCTCGATGGAGTTAAGACAGCTAATCTCTTAATGTGTTAGGAGTAAATTATTTATGCTCAAGATCTTAGCCAAATGATAGCTGTTTGGATAAACCAGTAGATTTAATTACAGTATTTCACTCTGAAATATTTGTTCAAACATAAGAGTAAAAGTTTTACAAGTTGGTAGTGAGACCTATAATGTAGGGCAGGGGTGGGCAACTCCAGGCCTCGAGGGCCGGTGTCCTGCAGGTTTTAGATGTGTCCTTGATCCAACACAGCTGATTAC